TGCCCAGGCTCCTGAAATGCGAGGAGTAGCCAGAGTCAGTTGGCAAAGCTGAAGTAGCTCCCCACAGACCCTCACCCCACCCATCTCCTCTCCTGGCAATGGAGCCAGGATTCTCCCCTCCTGAGACAATAACTGTTCCTCACCCAGACACAGGCCCAGCTGTCCTCTCACTCAACAGCTGACCCAACACCTGCCTCCCTCCCCTTCCTAATTAGGGGTTAGGCCTCAGAGGGGGGTGGGAGGCAGGGCTCCAGGATATTCATGTGCTTAGGCTGTTCCTCTTTAGTCTTCGGGGCTGAGCCTCAGACTTGAGGCATAAACTGAGACTTAGAGTGCCCCTTCCTCTTCAGGTCCACTGCCTACATCAGGGTTTCTCAACCTCAGCCCTACTGAGATTTCAGATGGCATAATCCTTTGTTGTGAGGGAATGTCCTTGTAGGATGGTTAGCAGCATCTCTGGCTTCTACCCACTTGATGCCAGTAGCATCATCCAGTTGTGACAACCAAAAAATGTCTCTAGACATTACCAAGTGTCCCCTGAGGGATCAAATCAACCCCAATTGAGAACCACTAGCCTAGGCCAATGCATCCCCCAAAGATGTGAAGGGAATAGAGGGGAAAGGGATAGAGGAAGAGAGGTTTGGGAGAGCTCATGGGACTAAGGGGGAAAATAGCTAGATCTAAACAAAGCAGCCTGTGGCTCCCCACTCACCACCCCCCACTCCCGAGGCCCACAGGACTGAGAGGTGTGGGAGACAGACAGCTCAGGGAGAAGACTACAAAAACTAAAAGTGCAAACTCACCCCAACACCACCGCCAGGTATGGCTGATGGGTAGAGGCACAGAACCACACCCACTCAGAGAGCTGCCAAGTCTAGCCCCACATCAGCACCCATAGCTTAAGGCTAGGGCAGTTGGGAGCCAGAGCACACACACTCACTCATTGATTCATGAAATTATGGCCTGGCCCCATACAGCCTCACCCTCTTCTACTCTACACCACCCGGTCCCCAGCCCCAGCCATACACAGCCAGGCAGGTGCGAGCCTCAGTCCTGGGGGCACAGTAAAGCCCGCTAAGGGAGCTGCTGACCATAGTCACACACCCCATCAGCCCCTCTGGCCCCAACTCCAACTACACCTCCCTCTCAGACACCCAATCTTTGTATGAAAAGCACTGCACACAACCATGCAGTGTACATCCTCACCCCTCCAGGTCCTTCTACCTGGAGGGTGCCTGAGGGGTCTGCCAGAGACTCCCTGCATTTCCCCCCCTTACAGCCACCCTGGCAGCAGAACTGCATTTACTCGGCTTCATCGCCCCAGAAAGTGTCCGAGACACAGCAGGAAGGAAATGCTCCCGGCATCCTTCCTCGGCCTCAGCATAAAGCCAAGGCCCCACTGGGGGGGGGGGCGCT